GCTGGGACACACTTGGAAAACTGGTAGTATTAGAAAAGGAAAAGCTGGTTTCTTAAAGAGCTGCACAAGGAAACACTATAGAGCAGCCGACAGAAGCGAGTCTGGGACTACAACTACAGCCTTCCAGGAGTGTGCTGCAGTGCAGACTGGTCTGCTAAAGCACAGAGATCCTCTAACTCAGGTAAGAAGTTTGTGGATACAAGTTAGTGGGTAAAAAGAGAGGAAGAGAGCGTGACCAGGGACCAGCAGGGTATCTTCCAAGGAAGCGGGTCTCTTACCTGGAAAATATTCTGTTCGAAAAGCCAAACATGGAGCCAGAATTAGCAATCAAGAGAAGGAGGAGTGTTAAAACAAGGAGCCAAGAGATGATCCTGGGGACTTTAGGGAGTCTTCTCCTGTAAAACCACATGGCGAGATGCTAGGGAGAGCCAGCGGCTCTGCTCCTGCTGCCCGGAGGTGCGGGCTCTGCGCTGCTTCCCAAAGGTGTGTCAGGAGAGTGGGCTGGTCTTCCCGCTGCATTTCCCGGTACGGATGTACACACCCTCTCCTAACGCTCCCAGGTGCTCTGCGAACGGATCCAATTTCTGAGAAAAAGACAGAATTGGCCTAAGCTCACTGCAACACAGAGTGGGCAAAGAAACTCCTTTTCCTGCTAACCAGGGAGGTTTCCTTTATCATCTTCAATGGGGTCAGTCTGGTATATGAGGAAAAAAGCCCTTTACCTCTCAAATCTGTTGTAGGCATCACTGGGAACATCTGTGCGAACTATGGGAATAGCTGTCACCACAGTCAAATAAATCAATTTTCAGATCACAGTCTATCCCCAAAAATATTCTTATTTTCTTCTGCTTGTAGTAATTGCTCATAGCCCAAAACCCCAAACAATCCCTGCCCTCAAAAGCTGACGGCTGGATACACATCCATTCTACCTAGCGATTACTTAAGATTACTTAAAAAACAGACTAGGATTTGGGTGAGGCATTATAGAATGGGGCTTGCTGTCAGACACTCCCTTCCCTTTGTAGGAAAGCTGACCTGCCTTTGGGGCAGCTGGAAAACCTTCACCACAGCGTTTTGCTTGCTTGGAAGATGCTAGTTCCTTGCAAGCTAACACAGCAGCGCGCGCTCTCCTCCTGCTCTTCCTTCTGCGCTCTCGGACGAGCTCCCCCAGTACCGAGCTGGAACTGCTCTTTCCGTTTTGGATTCTGAACTCCTGCCCCATCGCCGAGAGGCCAGGAAATAGCAGCGATGTTAATCTGCCACTGAAACGGAGCACGGACGGATTGGAGACTAGGGGTAATGGCAGAATTTGAGAGATCAGCATCATCTTGGTGACCCCTCACCGTGCTGCCACTTGAAATCCAGTTGGTTTCAAAGTACAGCTTTTTGTTTCAAAATAAAGTCCAGTCAAAGTAAGGCTTTACTGTTGGGATGTGCACGGGGATTGCTCCAGCCATGCTGAGCCCCTGCTGCAGCTCCAGAGGGTTCCCTCTGCATTTGAGGGGTGTCCACGTTCAGGCAGGGACTACGTTGCCTCTTCCTTGATGCGCAGCCTGTGACAATCTCCTTGCCTGACCCTAGCTGCAAAACGTGCACCTCTCCCCTCCGTGATGATGACACAACCAAATTCATCCTTTGCAAAAACTAGCAGTCTGTCTGAGGATGGATATTCACCTCGTCACCAGCAGAGGGAATATTAAGAGAAACCAACACCACAGCTAGGGAAAGGCTCCAGCCTCCCAAGGATGCAGCTTCACATGCTCTAGCAAGGGGCTCATTCAACCCATGGCGAACAGTTAAATATTAACCCTGATAGCTCCAGAGCAGATGGCCAGGCCGTGGCTCACTAGAAAGGCTGATTTTACACAACTCTTATCAGCAATTAAGCTCAGATAGAAAAAGACTTTTGTGGTGAGCAGCACAAGCCCCGGGTGTTGAATACACAGATTTCAGGCTGCTGGCTTTGCCACAGGAAATGCGGCCACAGGTTTCACAGCCACTTTAAACTAACCCACACATCAGAGCAAAGCCAAACTGCAGGGATCCCCTGTGCCGGGCCTGCTGGCAGCTCCATTCCTGCATTGCCCAGGTATCCTACAAAGTTGCTGCCTCTGGATTTAAGTGTAAGACAGCAGAGGGAACAG